GCGCCGCTGCACACCGGCCACCGCGGCGTTACGAATCTGCCGGGTTGGGCTACGCCGGTGCCTTCAGGCCCACGGCATGGCCAAGTTGGGTCAAGGCCAGTGCCCAACGAAAACAGGCAAGACTCGCGTCCAAAGACTATGCAAACAGATGAATTTAGCGACTGACAGATCATCAACAAAGATCTGTTCAGGCCGGTGCAGCATCAGCAGATCTTCAAAGCAAATCAGGTCATGACAGCGCTCGTAGATTATCAGCGGAGACTTGGTCCGGTCGGGTCCTGTAAAACATTCACACAAGAACACTCTCATACCGGCGTGCTCAGCCCGGGTCACGACCTGATGTCATTAGCACGGGTTTGCCACGGAGGCGGGCCCGACGGTGAGATTCGGCCGGAACGGACCTAGGACCGGCCATTCACTCGTCCATTACCAGCTGTGGTTGGTGTGGAGGGTTCCCAGTACCAGGTGGCCGAATCGAACCTGCCATCAACTTGGGCTGGCCTTACTACCACCAGCAATCGTTTTAACCACTGGTTTTACTTCGATTACCGGGTCCGTCTGTATGGATTGTTCCTCCTTCTCCAGAACAAAACACGGGATTAATAGATGAACATTAATGACATAGGTTACGGCACTAACACAGGTAATGAAATAACTATGATTACCAAATGATCGGAAATGATGAAGGCTACGGCACTAACACGGGTAATTAAATCACTAATTGGCGGTCATAGGGATACACAGCAATACATCTTCATAGACAGCGGGACCTCTCAGTCTGTCCGGGCTTTTATGTACACCTAATCCCTGCCACTGACCAAATCGGTTAATTCACAACGGCTGACAGCGAGGTCTCACACGTGGCGGTCAGGTTCAAGATTCTTGCTCCCTGGGTGCTGGCGACCGGTGCCGAGTCAGTACCGGAGGGGTACTCGAGCAGTACGCGGTACGATGACGGCACTTGGCTGGTACCGCGAACTGCTGGCATTCACCGGGCACGTTGCGCGCCGCCACCAGTGCCGATGACAGCCGAGAGCCGCCAGGCTCGCATGCCAGCACCCCTGCATCGGGGTTGGCGCCAGTTTTTAAACAATGCTTTACATCGCCCGTCGACAGATAGGGCGTGTGAGCTTCCTGTAAGCTACGTGTGCCGCTCAGTCTCAGGTCTCCAGGTTCGGCGCCGGCTCGCCGGCTTCGACGGAAGAGGGAGGGGAGGCGTCTGCTTCACACGTGGGCCGCCGCTCCCCGCCGCTCAGCCTCCCGTGACGAGCCGGCGTGCAGGGCGGCGAGGGTGGGAGGCTGAGGGGGAGGGGGCGGAGGGGAGGGAGAGTCACCGACAAGGTTGACCAGGCCGGCCCGCAGCGGCGGCCTGATGGGCAGACGATCGGGATTCAGCCCGTGTGAGCAGCGGAGCGCGCCTACATGTCTGCCAGATCGACTGCGACAGGGCAGTCGTCAGCGCTGCCAGACGTGACCAGCCGGTCAACAGTGCTACCAGATGCAACCGGCCTGTCAGCAGTGCTGCCAGTCTTCACCGGCCGGTCAGCAGTGCTGCCAGACGTGACCGGCCGGTTAGCAGCGCTGCCAGACGCGACCAGCCAGTCAGCAGTGCTGCCAGACGTGACCAGCCGATCAGCGGTGTTGCCAGACGTGACCAGCCAGTCAGCAGTGTTGCCAGACGTGACCAGCCGGTCAGTAGCGCTGCCAGACGTGACCGACCGGTCAACAGTGCTGCCAGCCGTGACTGGCCGGCCAGCAGTGCTACCAGACGTGATCAGCCAATCAGCAGTGTTGCCAGACGTGACCGACCGGTCAGCAGTGTTGCCAGACTTGACTGGCCAGTCAGCAGTGCTGCAGATAAGACCAGTGCTGACAGCGTTACCCGGCCGGTCCTGCTGTGACGGTCGGGGCGGTTGTCCTGTCCTGTCGGACAGTTGTCCTGTCCTGTCCAGTTGTCCTGATGGTCCCGCTTTGTGTGGGTTCCAACGGCTGCGCCTCTTCCGACAGCCTTGACGGCTCGTCAAGTCCAGACAGTCTGGTCTGCTGTCAAACGGATCTCGCCTTAGCGTGAGTGAGGTTGTGTCATGCTTTCATTACGCCCCGCTCTGAGCTGTCCAGTCCTGTCCTGTGCTTCATGTCCTGCGCTCCATGTCCCGCGCTCCATGTCCTGTGCTCTCTGCTCTATGCTTCTCCCGTCTGCTTCCTGTCTATTGCTCTCTAACCTGAGCTTCTTCATCTCTGCTTCTTCCCCTCTGCTCCTCCCTGCACTCGTCCCGCTCTGTGCTCCCTCCACTGGCCTCCTCCCGTGCTCTTGTGCTCTCCCTGTGCTCTCCCTGTGCTCCCGCTCCGCTGTGTTGCCTGTCAGTCGGCGTGGGCTCGCCATCGGCCGCCGTTAGCCCGTGGCCAGCCGCTGAACAATGCCCAGCCTCATTAGCATAGCTGGAGTGGCGCGCTGCAGCGACGCCGGGAGGAATGCGTGTCGGCCTGCCGGCGGCACGTGCTTCCTCGCAGGCACGGAACGGCGGCCAACACCTCCTCCGCTCGGCAAGTCAGTGCTGTGCTTACAGAGTCAGGGCTGGTGGGTATAGCTCACTTAGTAACTCACATGCAGTTAAGCTCCTGAAAAGCCAGGGATGTGCTCACAACGTCGAGGTGGCGTTCGTAAGTCAGGCATAAGTTCACGGAGATAGAGTGGTGATGACAATGTCCGAGCTGTGGTCAGGGGTGAGAGCTGTGCTCGCCAAGTCAGGGCTGTGCTCACCGACCAAAAATATGCTCACCAACCCAGAGCCGTGGTAACCAAGTCATCGCGGTGGTCACCAGGCCCTGGATGTGCCCGCCAAGTCACGTCAGCACCCATCAAGCAGGGCAGAGCTTGGTCATAACCATGCCTGCCAAGTCAGAGCCACGCCCACTGGGTCAGGGCTGAGTTCGCTAAGCTGGGACTGTTCTCGCTAAGTAAAGTCGCGGCTCAGCACGTCAGAGGTGACTATGATACGGAGCTGTACCAGCCTAGCTACAGCGCCGATCAGCGTGTTAACACAGGACTATCAGCCATCACCAAATCTAGTCTGTGTCCATGAAGCACGGGACTGTGCTAAACGAGTTTAAAGTTAAGACTCATGAGATTAACATGACGCCCGTCGACCAAGAGATCCCCCACTCGTTCTAAGACAGGCTACAGAGCGTGCCGACCAATTAACGGTCTCGTGCCCCGCCGCAGCTGCGTCACTCATCGGACCGATCCCCTTCATAATACCATTCAAAAGCGATGTAATCTCCATCGGTTCCAAGAGTGTTGAACAGCACAACGCTGATATGAACGAGACGTATTTTTTGATTGAGTGGCTAGTTTGGACGCTTTGCTTAAAAGGCCAGCCTAATGTGAAGTCTCAACAGGCGCTGCAGATTAAAAATGTCTGATACTCAGTCTAATGTCGGCGTCGAATGTTCAGTCGGGAGCATGATGTCGTTGTGAGACATATGCTTGCGTGTTGCCTTAGTGCCGACTCACTCATGGGATTAATTGTGTAGGACACCCCGTGTCGACTCCGGCACGGCCAACAGCAGCGCGGATACGTCAGATCGGGGCAACAGCAGCTCGGATCTGTCATGCGTCAGATCGGACCAACAGCAGCTCGGGTCTGTCATGCGTCACATCGGACCAACAGCAGATCGGGTCTGTCATATGTCAGATCGGGGCTACAGCAGCTCGGGTCCGTCAAGCGTCAGACCGGGCCAGTAGCAGCTCGAGTCTGTCATATGTCAAATCAGGCCAACAGCAGCTCGAGTCTGTCATATGTCAGATCGGGGCAACAGCAGTTCGAGTCTGTCATATGTCAAATCGGGCCAACAGCGGCTCGAGTCTGCCGTATGTCAGATCGGGGCTACGGCAGCTCGGGTCCGTCAAGCGTCAGACCGGGCCAACAGCAGCTCGAGTCTGTCATATGTCGGATCGGGGCTACAGCAGCTCGGGTCCGTCAAGCGTCAGATCGAGCCGCCGGCAGCTCCCACAGCTTACGGCGACAACCCCGAACCGGCTGCCGGCTCTCGCCGCCCCATCTGCCTGACCACGTCAGTGCCATCCTGGACGCCGAGGCCCGACGCCAGGCCAGCCACCACGGACTCAAAGAGCCGGAAACGTGTTCACAGGAGCGGGACAGGCTCATTGTAGAGACACTGCAGTTGGAATGTGGATTGGCCGGCTCGTCTGAACACACAAAGACCTCGGACTCGGGCCCGATTGGGGCGCGTGACGCGGATCGGCCAGTTCACTTCGCATCGCTGGTGTGCCGAATACCGCCAGCCTCTTGTTAGCGATGCCGATCAAGACCCGCTCGCTAGGCTGGCTCGTTTGTGCTGGATTGGGGCGCACCGTGCCTTAGAACTTGGCGCGAATGTGCTCCTGGTTTGAGGTTCGTGAGACGCTTCATATCTTATCACTTATTTAAACACGGCGGAAGAAACGGAATACGGTGTTCGCAAGGGGATGTGTTGTTCATAGCTGCGATTCAGGGAATTAAGTTGCAACAAATCTACAGACAGTAAATCAAACGGACTCTACCGGAAGGTGCCCCATATCCAGACACCTGATCTAGCCATTCTACGGTACTGAGCACGTGCCTCACAGGTCGTAACTCGGCCGAACTTTCACCCATGTACAGCCCTCCGACCTTTACAAAATGCACGGCGGGCCACAATTAGAGCCGACATGGGGTGCAAATCGCCGGTGGCGTCCGGTGACCGGCCGGGGCGACACCCGACACCGGGCACCGCTGACAGACCGGGCACCGCGCCCCCGCACAGGGGCGGACCCGGCCCGTTCACCGCACCGGCACCGGGCGACACCCACCGCGTCGGCGCCGGCTCCGCACACAAAAACCCGCCTGCTTAACCGGCCAGCCAGTTCTTACGGTCGCGCGCCGCCGTGGCGCCCCCGTGTCGCCGGCAAAAAGCGGAGGCGACCGCGGCCGGCTGGCGACGGTCCGCAGCGCACTCACCTGCTGGATGCGCTCGCGCGTCTGCAGGATCTCCATGAAGAGGTCGAGCTTGTCGCCGAACACGCTGAAGCCGGCCTGTTCCGGGCTCGGACTGGGCGGCGTGGCATGGCCGTCCGGCAGCGCGCGCCGGCCGGTGTCGCTCGCGCACGCGCTCGACGCCGAGCTCACGCCGCTCGAGTCGTCCTCGCCGCGCTCCGGCAGAATCATGGCCGTGCTGAAGCCGTAGCCGCGTCCCCGTCCACCGCCGCAGGAATCCCACCCGCCACCGCGCCGCCCGCAGCCCGCACTGAGCTCGCCGCCGGTTGCCGTCGACGGTGGCGCCGCCATCGGCCGACGGCGGAGTTGCAGCGCGACGGTCGTTACGCCGCGGGGCATCGTAGCCCCGATGGGTCGGACGGTGCGCCCCCACAACTCGCGCTCCGACCCCGCGCAGGGCAGGCTCAGGTCCTCCCGCGAACGCCGGGGACGGAGGGAGTCAGGGTAGCGAGGGTCACGGCGGAGTGGGTCAGTCTGGAGTGTGTCCGAGAGGAAAGGGTCAGGGCAGAGCGGGTCAGGGAAGAATGGATCCGGACGCAGTGGGTCGGGAGCCGCGCATCGTTCACGATGTGAGTGTGAGCCAAGCCGTTGGTGTGGGTCAAGACGCCAATTTAGGCAGGGCTGTAGGTTCAGGCGTAGCTGTGGCATGTGCGGATGCTGGTGGGCGCCAGGGCGTGGACCAGCGCCAAAGCGCGGGTGCAGATGTGGACCACGCCGGTCAGGGTGGGGCTCCGAACGTGGGCCAGTGTGCCGGCGCAGGCCTGGGCGCGAGCGGGCTTCAGCCGGCACGTGCGGGCCCGGCGGGGCAGGTCTGTCTCTGGCGTCGTCCAGGCGGGCCTTCAGCCGCCTACAGTCGCAGCGACCGCCGGCCGCGGGACAGCGCAGGCTCATCCGACAGGGCTTTTCCGGGCAGGCGAGGTACGAACACGGCTATCTTTACCGTGCTGGATGGCCTCCGGCTCCTCTCAAGCGGTCCGGGGTAGCGGCAACATCACGATATCCAAGCCGACACCTATGTCTTATGATGCGTCATCACGGAAGTATTGGCGGCATTACATCCCGCCATGCAGCTTTCAGCATGGTCTGCAACATTAATGTCTCCTTAAATGCTTTATGGTGGATTCATCCTCTGCTAAGTTTTCTGCATGCATGCATGCCTTCAATCTCTCCCAGCTCACGAAATGTCACAGCATCTTCATGTCAAACGATCAGCATTGCAGCGTTCGTCGGCCGCAGCCTCATCGCCTCCCACTATACCTACGTAGTGAAACCACATCAGAAACCCTTTTCTGATCGCCGCTGCTGTACTCTTCCCTCTTGTTGGCACCCCGGCCCCGACAGGCCATGATTGCCTCCGTGACGAACTCGGTGCACGCTACGGAACGATAATTGTGCAGCAGGTTTCTAGGCGATGTACAAACTCTTCGGAACAAGTATCCTGAGGGTTGAGCTCACTCCGATTGGTCATTTCCTTCGGTCCAGTTTATGCATGAGCTCAGGTCAAACAATAAACTTAAAACCATATTGCACTGTCCCTGCCCCAAAAAACATCGAGTTTCTGTGCGCGGAAAAACGGAAAGAACCGGCGTATACCACTGGTACTGCATTTTGACTGAATGTGTGTTGATGCATGCTAATGCATGTTATGAACACTTGTGTCGAATTGGTGTCTTGTAAAATTGCGTAAGCTAAGGATGGTCTATCGCGATCGAATTCGGTGTTAATGCATCCCGCACTGGATGCATTTCACAAGGTAACACGACATGTTATTCAGCAGAAAAGGTGATCAGACCTGCGAAAAGACTACAATAAAATCCAACCGTGGAATGTAGATAAAACATCTTAAATTTTCTGATGCATGATATAGTACGGATCTAATTATCCGCTTTTGCTGACTGTTAGTCCAATACTCACCAACGTTTTCATAAAAGCGCCCTTGATCACTCATTTCTACCCAAAAACAGGCTGAGGTAACTGAAAAAGGTCCCCAATGTACCTTGACGCCCTTTGATATCCCCGAACCGACTGCGTTCCGAAGCCGCCCAGTCGGCAGTGGTCACCACTCTCCCCACACAATCCACAGGTATCTCCGCGTCCGCAGCCAGCAGTCACCGTTCACAGCGTCGCCACCGCCCCCAGCGCGCCCCAGCCCCCGTACCGCCCCGCTGCTGCCACCTGTCGGGTCGCCCCGCCCGAGCTCCTCCGGCACGGAGCTCCTCCGACCGCACTGACCACCGCCGCCGCCGCCGCCGCCGCCGCCCTCCCGTCTCTCTGATCGACGCGATGCGGCGGCGGCGGCGACGGCGGCGGGCGGCGCAGACGTCCCGACCTCGTCGCCCGCTCAGGGGGCGGTGCGACTTCACAGCCAGGCGCTCAGGTCCCGCCTCATCCGCTGGGGGTACGTCGGTCACTCCAGCTGGTGCTCTACAGACACGTGAGCCACTCCAGCTGGTGTTCTAGAGACGCGTCGGTCACTCAGGCCGATGCTATACAGACACGTCGGCCACTCCAACTGATGCTCTACAGACACGTCGGCCACTCCCGACTGGTCCTCCATAGACACGTCTACCTCTCCGACTGTTGCTCTTCCGACACACCGACGACTCCTATGGATTCCCTTCGAACGCCTCCAGCTGACTCCTGTACCTATGCACATTCCCTGGTCGGTGTACTGAACTCTGTCCTTGAACTGATTCTATACAAACGCGTCAGACGATCCACCTTATCTCTGCAGAGGCCACTCAGACGTCAGGAGATCCAGCTTATCCTCTGCAGAGGCCAGCCACTTCAGCTGATCATCTACAACTACGCCATCCACGCCAGCCGATGCTCCATTGAGATGTCAGCCACGGATCACCGGCGCCGAACTTCACTGGACACCAGTAATGGTGTCATGCAAAGGCACGTGCTCAGTTCCGGACGATCGAGCTCCGGGTATGGAGCTCAACGGCTATCGTCGCTGGTCAATGCTGATCATGAATTACAAGCCGTCTGAGTCCCGGTGATTGCGACTGATTTGATCATCCCCACGAGGCATACCGGGACCGCAGACACAGGAGCTGGGCTGGTCCCATCATCGGCAAACAGCGCTCAATCGGCCCAATCTGCTAGAGAGTCGACGGGTCGCGCCAATCAGCTACGATTACAGCAGCAGGGCCGGGTCGTTTATATACGCTCAGAAGCAGAAGCGTTTAAATTCCCTGTTGGAGCAGCGCACATGGGTGAAAATGCAGGCCAATAGAATGCGACAGAGGTCTTTGTGGATGGTTGTGAACGCGATCAATGCCTGGGAAGTCAGCGGCTGGTACCAGCCGAGGATTGATGCGCTTCTGGCAGGTAGTCTCCGCGCTGTGATGAAGTAGTCACCGCGTATGTAGTAGTCATGGCAGGTAGTCACCGCGCTGTGATGAAGTAGTCACCGCGCACATAGTAGTCATGGCAGGTAGTCACCGCGCGCCGTCCTTGCAGGTGATATGTTGATGTCTCGACATGCACCACAGGCACCAGCTCGGTTTTGTCGGATGCGGAGACGATTAAATTGCGGAACTAATAATGCGGACGGCATTCTTGCGAGCATGAGTCTTTGCAACCGATGTTGCAAGGAAAGATTAGATTGCGGATTGCATTGCTCGCTTGCCGCTTTTTGTAAACCATCCTGGACTGAAACACCTTTAGCCTCTAATCTTTGGCGGAAGTGTCTTGCCTTGCCCTACTTGCCTTAGGCGGTGGAAAGTGAAGGGTCGAGAGCGATTTCCCACGCCCTATTGTGAGGTCAAAGTAAGCAATTTTGTCATTTCCACACAAGAGGTGGAATACATTTTTGTGAACTGACCTCCTGGAAGAACAGCTTCCACATCATTTGTGTGATGGCTAAATTGATATTCATTTGTTAAACATATAAAATTTTCAGACGCACAGTACTTTATATGACCCTTGTCATATTATTCTGAACACCGCACATTAAACAACATTTGCTTTCATCAAATATCCCTCCTCCAGTGTCTCTCTTCGGCACTTACCAAGTGACACGAATGGCGGCCTACAAACAGTAAGACGGCGCACAGATGCAATCCACATGGCACAACACTCAGCTGCCAAGAATGTCATGTTCCAAAACACACCGCACCGGCATCCGCAGCGATTTTGGAGCTTTAACTTCTGGCCCATTGTTTTCATGCGCCGCCAGATGTTTGTGGTATACGTCGTGCGTCATTGGGGCTTAACGACGCACTCAGCTGCTGAGGCTGAGGCTATATGGCGTCGCCTGCCTCTCACCCTGACAAGAAGGGAGGGCACCGCGGGGAATCAAACCCCGTACCTCTGGTTTCCCACACGCGCAGAGGTTAATGCAGACGCGTTAACCACTACACTACCGGCATCCCTTCGTGGTATGCGTATGGAACATTTCAGTGACCTCTTTTCAGTCATTTCAGTGACCTCTTATCGACAGCACATTAACTGGTATATTATTTAACATTAACTGGTACGGCTGCATCCTGTAGAAACAGAACGAGAGTGAATTATCCATTATGCGCATGAAATCAATATTTAACCTTTGAACAGAAAAAAGGCCTGGGACGGCCTGCACGTATTCCAGGAGTAAATCGGTACTTCTTGAAAAGTCATGAGTCACCAAGAGCATGGCCACGGGTAACCATGAGCAGGGCCTGATCCACATTTGCAGATGGGGGGTTAACAACATAGATGAGAAAAGCCCACATGTGACTGTTGATGTGCTTTGGCTGCCCTTAATAATATGTTTTCCTCCTATGGGCCTTTTCACGTCATCGTTTGATTGCGTCATGAAACGTCCTTATGACGTCAAAGTCACTTCTGGAGTTACCGCATCAAAATTACAGCTGTAGCGGCCAGAGCGACATACTTGGACTTCTACGGGTCGCATGGTTCAGCTGATGATTTGTGGAAGTTGTTCAGTGCATTGTCGAAAAACATTATTCACATAGATAAGACAGTAGCAATAGTCTTATTCCTGGGAGAAACCAAAAGAATGGAGAAATAAATGGGTTGGTATTTCGGCAATATGCCCTTATTGAAGCAATAGCACTTCTGTTATTGCTTCAATAAGGGCATGTTGCCGAACTATCAACCCATCCACTGCTCCATTCTCCTGTTTTTCTCTCCGGGGAACAAGGCTATTATTACTGTATTATCTATGATGATTTATGTGTTAGAACTC